GTATGACAATAATTTAAAAAATTAAAAAATTAAAAAAATTAAAAGCGGGAGTCGAGAAGGAGTACTTACGTATAATTCCACATACAATACTATCTGCATCCACAACCAACCAAAACCATATCTTAAACAATCAGCTACCTCATAATATAATATTTATTGTAATTTAAAAAAAAAAGATCTTAATATAAAGAAGAAGAAAAAAACATAAAAAAATTTAAATCTAATTTTAATTTATTAACTCTTTGCTTTTGGGTTAAACAATGTTATATTTCTTAGAAAGTTAAATAGAATAGAAAGGGAGTTTTACCGAGATGAGGACACGACCAAGGGCACCAAAAGCAGCTTGGCCAATGTCAGGGTAAGTTTCGATACCTGGCTTACTATCCAAACAAGCACGCAATAGGATACCAGTGTAGAAAGAAAGCACAGCGAATATCAACAAAATGGATATCCCCAACCATCCTCCTTCCTTCATAGCGTATGGAGTCGACAGTAATCCCACCCCACATAGCGCATTCATGCCTGCATTTCAACCTCAATCACTTTCACAATAAACACAAAATTGTGGAGATCCATTATTCCTAGCCTGGTATAAAAATCATTACTTTGTCCAAGGAGAGAATTGTTGGGAGGGAGCCTACATTGACTAATTTAGAGAATGATCGTAGGATCAAGTAAGAAATACATTTTCATTGGCATGAGGTCGTCATAACTTATACTCAAAGTGGACAATATGTCATACCATTAGAGATTTATTATTCCTAACACTATATTCATTAATGGTCACAGATACAAGTTACCAACTAACTCCATAAAATATATTACTAATAGAAAAAAAAAGAATTTAACTGATATTATACCACTAACTTTATATCTCAAATCAAATTTTAGTTACCATTGGCGACAGCTTGGCCAAAAGAGCTATGGCTAGAAATGGGGAGGCCATGAGAGTCGATGGCGAGGTTGTCTTTCTCATCCCTCCTCACGGATAAGGACGAGCGCCGGGAAGGAAGGCTGAGATGGGAATGAGAGGCATGCTTTTGAGGCTGGTCTACTACTGTGGATAGCAGTGGTTTTATTATGGAAGTAGAGAATGCTTCAGGAGTGAATCTCCTTGTCAATGAGGAAGAAAGAAACGAGCTTCCAAATCTAGTCAACGATGGAGAAGGTACACTTCCGAGCATATCAATAGATTTCCTGCAACATTATAATTTGATTTCTAAATTATTATTAAGAAAACATTCATACATAAATACTGTTTTGTAGCATGAATAGTACTTCAATTAATTAATTGCCAGAGTACTTCGAAAAGAAGATAAGGCTTACAAACATCAAATAATTACTTATAATTAAATACAGAGTAAATATTAGAAAATTTTCCCATATATGCATACTACAAACGTTCCTTAAGGATGTGGTTGAAACAAGGTTGAAATGAATGCTTGTTCAACAAAGGGTTAGAAAACAGCCAAAACTACAACTCAAAAGTTTTAGAGTTCGTTGTAAAGCCATTCATTGAACTCTATCCATTTTTATTATAAACACACACACAAAAAAAAAAAAAAAAAAAAAAAAAAAAAAAAAAAAAAAAAAAAAAAAAAAAAACC